GCCCCGGGATTCAGCTCAGGCGGCTTTTGCAGCTTATCTATTGCCGATCACACAGGTAGGTCTGCCTCGCACACTGGCGAGCACTGAAGAAGTCACGATGCGGAAATTTGAGTCATCTGCGGTAAGGCTCTTGTTCTCCTGGAGGCTCTAACCTTCTTTTCTTTTTTTGCTCTCGCGCTTACCGCGCAGTGGAGCAGTGGCAAGACCAGCCAAGACAGACATCAGAGACACCAAGACACACATACGGTCGAAGACCTTACCAAACAGCGCATATATCGTTGCTGGCCTCGTTTCTTAGACCGGGTCGGCTGAGGAGTTGAGTGAGGCTGGGCAGCCCCGATGACCATGGTCCCCTGGTGATGTTGCGGTGAAGCTGGCTGCAGAGTTGATAGGTATGCGTAAAGGGTCCTGCCTCGAGGGGGTGTCTGGTGATGTATATGACTTGCTCTCGACGGCTCTCCTAGGAACCCTTCGCCACACGTTTGATGGTTGGGATCCGGTACCGCTCCAACACTCTTATCTCGAAGGAAGAGGAGCTAAAGGCGCCTGACAGAGCGGCGGCCCCCACACCCCCGCCGGGGACCGGACGTAGAAGGGATAAGTGCCCAGAAGAGTGTTCCATGGGCGCCCGTAAAGACGAGCCAGAGAGTCGGCCTTTCGGAAACAGCTACATGCAATGGAGCTTTGCTCGGTCCTTGGACTGACACGGCGGAAAGTTGGGGGGGCCCAAGAATTGGTATGATGGCAAGGAAGAAAGGAGGCGGTCTCGAATTGTGTCACAAAGTGACAAGTGAGGCCGACACAGTCATCTGGGATCCCATATGGTGACCTCTAACACGCCGTTTGGCCAACAAATGTTGGCCGCCCTGTTGCTTCGAACAGAGACAGGCGACGAACGAGGCGGATAGCCACCCCCAACAGCCCTGACCACATCTCACCGTGAGCTGAGAAAGCCGGATCGCGGCGCCGTATCAGCTCGGACAAGCTGGCTTGTGTGCTGTGATACGACCGGCACAAATATAGGTCCCCCTCGCCTGGCAACCAACCGTGAGCTCCGGCAAAGATGCACGAGTAGCGGCTTGGGCGACTGGGGACGGCATAGACAAGCTTATTGGGTTGTTTCTGTATGCGCTTCGCCTTGCCCATGCCAGACGGCGGCCATGTCACGACGCGGGTTGGATTGGCACGCCGGCAACTGACTGGCATGACGATCCCGGAGTCGGGTTGAAGCGAATGAGCACTGGCATCGGCGCCAGACTCTCACTCAGCTGATGCTCGTGAGATAAAGGCATGATTTGGAGGGGGGGGGGGTTCCCCGTGGAGACGGAACGGCCATCTGTTGTTGGGCGGCGCTACTCCCCCAGATCTCGCTTTTGTCAATAAATGCAGGCTCCCGCGGGCCAAGGTCCAGCCCCCATGCCACGGGGTAAGAATCTGGCGATGAGGGTAGGACCAGAGGGGATTGTGCCATCGGCGAGGCGAAATTGCGTGACGAGGGGTACCCTTTTTCTCTCTCAGATTGTGCCTCCTCTCCAGTATTTCCTTATGCTTTGTCTGCCCATTGTCCGTCTTGACTTCCCCGAATAGCTTCCCCAGGGTCATACGAGCCAATCAGACAACGAGACGGTGGCACAAGCTAGGGGTTATCACGACTAAGCCACCTCTTCCATCGCCTCACCGCCCCCCCCCCGCGTCCGCCCGCACGCACACAATCACACACATTGAGAGGGCAGGCGCCAGGACCGGGCTTGGGGGTAATCTCGGTGGCCCTGGGGAAGGGAAAGCGGGATGAGCATGGGATGGAATGGGAGGCGTGGAGGACTGGCAAGGTTATTGATGAAGGAATGCCCACGTTGTACCAGGGCCCTGTCCCATCATCTGGGTGCAAGGGGATGCGTACCGCTCGTGCGAAAAGTCGACTTGGCCGCAAATGGTAGGCACGTGTCGGCATTCGACCGAGAAGTGGTTCACGGTTGGGAAATTGGTGTTGGGGACGAAAGGGGAAAAGAAATAAAAATAAAATAAAAATGAGAGAAGAGCGGGAATAGCGGCGCCGATACGATACGGGAGGGCAGGTTGACTAACTACTACGGATACGCTGGGTGGATAGCAATATTGCGAATGAGGCCGAGGATTCACCACGACCAGGCTAACAAGTCAGGCAGGCATTTTATTTTTTTTGTTGCCCACCAAGACAGCAGCGGACCACCCACGTATCAGCATGACGAGAAGAGAAAATTTGCTGGATGAGGATAAGGATCCTTATGCCTCACGGCATGGGCCGATGGTGTAATAGTGCACGACAGCTCCGGGCTGGGCAGAGCAGCGGACAGGATGGAGGGTGTGAAGAAACGGAACCCACGACGGGCGCGGGCTTGCGCATTTGCCGACCGAACACGGCGGGATCGTTCCGTTGCTACCAACGGCGGCGATGGCGATGGCGACGACGACGACGATGATGATGCCACTGGCCGGTTGGGCTTCCAAGTTTACTTTGGAGATGCTTGCTTCCGATGATGCCAGCAGAGCCGGGCATAGCACGAGCATGAAAAGAAAAAGCTAATGATTAGCATATCTGTACGGGGTCCTAAGCGTACAAATTGGCAGGTGAAAATGCTGAGGCACAGAGCAGAGAGGGTCGAGGAAGACAAGAAGAGGGGTACGTACCGTCTCTCTCTCTCTCTCTCTCTCTCTCTCTCTCTCTCTCTCCCCCAGTTCCCTTCCCCAACCTGTCGCAAAACCCAAACCAGGGCAGGTCGGTATCTGATGGCGCGCGTACCTTGCCTGGAGTTGCGAGGTACTTGGGTACATGGCCGTCCAAGGAGGGAAAAAGGCAGCATCTCGAGCAGGGAGGTACGTACCGATCTCTCCGGGAGAGCAGAGCACGTCTCTCTTGGCTTTTCTCAGGGTGGGTCGGAAAATGTGGAGAGTGGAGGCTAAACACCCGGCTGCGACACGCCCCCCCTTTTCCCACGTCTCTCTCTCTCTCGCTCCCTCTCACTCTGCTTCCGAGGCACACGCCCCCCTTCCCTTTCCCCTTTCACCCGCGCTCTCCAGAGCAAGTCGTCTGCCACACGCCCCCCTTCTTATCCTATCCCGCCCACATGTTTCCTGCTACTGGACATCGTCGTCTTCACTGTCAGAGCCAGCACCAGCACCAGACAGAAAGCCCAGACAGAGCCCAGCAACTCCAGCGTGTGTGTGTGTGTGTGTGTACAGGTATGGGTGTGTGTGTGCCTGGACCAACTCTCCCACCCGGTCCTTTTTCTTTCACAGGCGCTGCCGCCTCCTACCACGGTAAAAACAACTATCCCTAACCTGCTACTGTGACTCGCCTGGTCCTTACTGCCTGCTCCATAACGGATATCGTCCGTCAAACGACGCATCTCCCCCAGTCGTGACGGGACAGCAGCGAGGCCTCTCTCTACCCCGTCTTTTTTGGTCCGTGCCAAAGCAGAGAGCGCGCAACCAGTACCTTACATACCGAGCCTCCCCCAGCCCTGTCCGAGTAGTCGCCCGCCGCGGGGGGCGGGTGGGAATCTCGCGCGACCTTGTGCGCTGCCTTGGCAGAGGACCGGCCCAGAAGTACCGTACTGCCGCCGCCTCTGCTGCGGGTGTGCTGCGCTTGTGCTTGTGTTGGCGGATTTGACGCTGGAAGTGGCATATGGGGGTGGGAGAGCCATGGGGGTCGTCGTCTTCGTCTTCGTCGTCGTTGCCAGGTACCCTCCACTTTTGATGTACATTGCACAGGTACTGTCCGTATCGGCATCGTGGTTGGAGGCTCAGAGGCTCCCGCTCCCTCATTCTCCTCATCCACTACCCTGAACTTACCTTCCGTTAGGTAACTAGGGGTGCCAGATTTGTTTGAGGAGCCCCCAGTCTCTCTCCTCTTTCTCTCCGCCCGAAGAGCCCCCAGAAGCGCCTGCGAGGAAAATAAAGAGCGAAGAATAACGAGGCCCTAAACCACTCCGGGAACGTAGAACAGCAAGGCGGTCGGTGGGAATCGGGCAAAGAAGAGCGCACGCAAACTGCACTACCTACCCAGACGAGTCTCACACATGGAAGACCAGCAGCGCAGCACCTCTGGGAGAAGAAGCCAGGACCGGGTCTACACCAGGTATGTACATAGCAGGAGCTGCGAAGGAGTCAGGGACGGGGACCCGACCCAGAGACCATGACTTTACATTCATACATACACTAGGACTGTGTGACGGAGACCAGGCCGAGTGAGAAGCTGCCCACACCCTTCCCTGGGCTTCCTTTCCTTCCCTTGCCTTGCCTTTTTCCTTTCCCCCATCCACCTCATCCACCTCATCCACAATCCACATTCACCACCCACCACCCATCATCCACACCGTCCACACATCCACACCCTCCTCGTCCGCCGGCTCTCTTCCCACCTTGTTCTTGGCTCACTCCCACGTCCTTTTTTTTTTTTTTTCTTCTGATACCGCTTGCTCTCTCTACCCTCCCTCTTGCCATTTAAAACTACCGCCCCGTCCTTTCCTCCCCCAACTTTGCTCTGTTCCTTCTTTTGGAAAGAAAAGAAATTGTTACGCCAACCTTCTGTCATCCCTCGCGGACCAGCAACCTTACCCCGGGACACACCCCTCAGTAACCCCCCCAAAAAGCCAAAGCTTTTTCACACCACCCACCCACCCACACTCTCACAGCACCGAACTCGACTCGCATAACTTATATATCCCGCCAACCACCCACACACCCACCTCACCCACGCTCTCTCGACTCTTCCACGCCCACTCTTCGCAGCAACAACGCCAACCACTACTCGGAACCGCACTCACGATACTTGAGCCGGTTCTTACCCTCGACGACATTCAAGTCGACCACTACTGCAAAGGAAGAAAAGAAGCATCTCCCTACTGCGTACCAAGGCGCCCAGCTCTGGATCATCAGGGCCAATGGGTGATCACATGCAACAGACACAATCGTCTCCTTTCAACTTTTCAAGTTTGCTCAACCCCGATAAGAACGAGAACATGTTGTCGGGCGACGCCATGGAAACCACGAGACTCGGTCAGCTCAACGAGCTGAAGCCCAAGGGCCCTCTGCCCGGCCAGACCGCCGAGAACCCCAACGAGCTGCCTCGTCCCTACAAGTGCCCCTTGTGCGACAAGGCCTTCCACCGCCTTGAGCACCAGACGAGGCACATCCGCACCCACACTGGAGAGAAGCCTCACGCTTGCCAGTATCCTGGGTGCAGTAAGAAGTTCTCCCGCTCCGACGAGCTCACCCGTCACTCGAGAATACACAGCAACCCCAACTCGAGGCGAGGCAAGAACCAGTACAACTCGGGTCCTCAGTCGCACATGCCCCAGGATGGAATGATGGCCCCTCCCCCGGCGCCCAAGACGATTCGATCTGCCCCGACCTCGAGCTTGTCGTCTCCCAATGTCTCGCCCCCGCACTCCTTCTCTACCTACGTCCTGCCCGCCCAGCAGGGCCACGGCAGCCCCTTTGGACGCCAGTTCCAGGGTAACTCCAACATGGACATCTCCATCCTCGCAAAGGCCGCCAACCAGGTCGAGCGTGAGACCCTCACCGCGCCGCCTTTCCACGGATCTTCTGCCAGGCATCACCCTTACTACTCCCACAGCCTGCACAACTCGCGCGGCCACCTTCCCTCTCTCTCTGCCTACCACATGTCGAGATCGCACTCCAACGACGAGCACAACGATGACCACTACTCTGGCTCTCGTCACGCGAAGCGGTCTCGTCCCAACTCGCCCAACTCCACGGCGCCCTCTTCTCCCACCTTCTCCCACGACTCTCTGTCGCCTACTCCGGACCACACCCCTATTGCCACTCCTGCTCACTCCCCGAGACTTCGGCCCATGGGCTACGAGCTGCCTTCTCTTCGCAACCTTTCTCTGCAGCACGCGGCCCCTCCCGCTCTGGCTCCCCTCGAGCCTCATCTGGAGACCCCTTACCTGCCGCCGCCCCCGGCTCCTACCAGCGCTGGAACCCCCACCCGCAACGGTACCTCCTTGACGGACATCATCAGCCGGCCCGACGCCAGCAGGAAACTGCCTGTCCCCAAGATTGGCGTCCACCAGCTCCTCGATGGAAACGACGGCTTTCAGAGCGGCAGGAGCTCCACCAGCGGCAGCATCGCCGGCGGTGACCTCATGGACCGCATGTAAACGCAACGGACTCTAAAGTGGCTACGACTTTACGACCTGGGCAATAGACGAGATGGTAGAACGGACGGCGTTTTCGGGTATTTCGAATTTTTTTAAGAGTTGGCCGACCACGACTTCTTTGCCTAATTATACACAAAAAAACCAACCAACCCAAAGAAGTCGATGGTGCCCCTGCCCTATCACGGCGGCGGCCACACTCGAAACTTATAGACTCCTCCCTCGATGGATGAACAACCAGAGATTGGATTCGCGACTCCTCTCCCTACCAACAAAAAGCAAACTTTCTTTTCTCTGTCTCATTTCTCCTCGATGGGGTTTTCTCTTGCGTGAAGGCTTATGGATTTCGGGAGGGAGAGTGTGTGTGTATGAGAACGCCAACGGGTCGTCAAACCCGTCTTTCCTCAAATGTGTCACGGTCTGTTTGTAAACGGGCGATTTTCTCAATCTATCAACCTATAGACGGGGCGGCAGGGAATTCTTGGCTGGTTTTCGGTGTACATGATGAGCCTCTTTCACAGGAAGAGAGCCATTCGGGCGGCGGGTTTCTCAAGCGCAGAGAAAAGCGCTGATTTGGTGTTCATGTTACTCGGTTTCTTTTTTTTTTACGACTACGTCGCCGCCTAGGCTGGCTTGACGAACGTTTTGTTTTCTTGACTGTTCTTAGAAAGAGAAACTCGATGCCTCGAAACATGACCTTTTTCGAGCAAGAGAATCCAAAGAGATCCCTACTTCACTCACTTTGCACTCATACCATGCGTTTGCTATCTTGACAGTTGTGCCTGTGACGCCTACCAATGGTCCCTCGTGTTCAAAAACCGTGTGTGAGGTGGTGCGGCTGTGGGGTGCGTGTGCCGTGTGTGACAAGACCGCCCACACACACAAGCCAAACGAGCTTCCCCCTTCTTTCTCCCCCGTACAGACCCGATGATCGGACCCGTGCCCAGGCGGCCGTTTGTTTGGGGGGGGATGGAGAGCGCGGGATGGGATGGGATGGGAAGGGGGCGCAGAGAGCAGTGTCGGGGGTGCGCGGGCGGGCGGGCGTTTCCCTTTCTCTCTCTCTCTCTCTCCCCCCACACTTTCCTACTACCGTACGTAATCTGCGCAACTCTTGTCTCTCTCCCTCTCCGTCTCCTTCACGCGCTCGCTCAGCCAGTCGTCTATGACCTGTTGATCACTGACTGGTTCCAAAGGTTGCCAGGGCAGGCCTCTCGGCGCGTGGGAAGCCATCGACACGACACGACACGCAGGACAGACGGTTCTCTCGTTTGTAACACACGCTCGTCATGAGGCAGGGGTGCTGCTTTCTCGTTTTCTCTGTCTATCTCTCTCACACTCTCTCTCTCTCTCTTTCCCGGGTGTATACACTTCCATAGGGAGGAACCGGGGGGGGGGGAGTGTGCCCTTGGGGTCCTCCTCTGGATGCTTGGATGCTCGGATAAGGGGTCTTCGTCACAGTTGCCAGAAGGACAGCGTCTGGAATTTCTTACTCGTCAGTTCCATGGCGGCCAATCGCCCCCCCCCCCCCCCCCCCCAATCTTGATCCGCCTGTCCCGCTGCTGAAAGTCGTCCCAGGGGGTGGTTTGGAACAACATGGGCAGTGCCCTTTTTTTCCTTCTTTTTTTGTTTTTTTTTTTGTTGGTCCTTGCGGGCTGGCGCAAACCAAGGCACAAGCACAAGCAGCTCCATTCTAGGGATTCTGTAGTTTTGCTCTCCCACCACGGCCCTCCCCCCTCTTATCCCATCTCGGCCCTATCTTTCATGACACCTTCTAGCCCCATCTCGTTCCAGGGCTGGGGGGTTGGGTTCGGGTGGATATGAGCTGCTGGGCGGCAACTCATACACACGCACACCCCCAGGCGACCCTCCCCCCTGGTGATCGACCTTCACGACGTATGTGCGTGGTATCTTGGTATCTATGTTTTTTTTTCCTTGCCTGCCGGGGCGGTCTCACGTTCCCCGAAACCCCCAGAATGCTCATCACCAGCTTCTCATGCCTCGACTCATGAACCTGATCGACCTATGGGGACGGGGCGCGGGGAGGGGGATACCCTCTTGTCCTCTTAGGGACGAGTCCCCGTCCTGCCCGTCACCTACGTCAAAGGGAGCCCACCCAACGGATCATGCCATATCTCGAAAAAGGCGATGACATTTCGATAACCTGATGGAATGATGTAGGATGTGGATTTCCGGCGGATGCCAAGTGAGTGTGCAAGAGTCAGTTCCTCTGGGACCCTCACCGATACCCTTCAAACACACTTCCAGCCCTCCCTCACGTCCCTCCTCCAAGTCTGGGGAGTACCAAAAAAATAAAAATAAAAACCAAAAGGTCTGGAACGAGCGGCATTACGTATTTCTCTGGGGGATGATATCACATCCTGCCCCACAGTCCCTGACATATGATTGTTGGCAGAAACTTGTCTTCTTCCGTGGGGTAAGGGAAACGATGGGAAAAAGTTGATTGTCAACCCCATATGATCTTCATAGGGAACAGGCGAAAGAACCTTTTTCTCCCCCTTTCCCTTTCTTTCTCCTTCCTTCTTGTGGCCCCTAGCACGTCTTGGTCGTTACGGCTACACCAGGCAACCCAAGAATAGTTTGCAGGGCCCCGGAACTTGCGGATGTCCCTTTTGCGCAACGGCAACTCAAGGGGGGGGCTAAGTGACATGCGGATTCCCCAGTCTCAAACGGAGGTCTGTCGATGATGACTCAGAAAATGTTACTGCCCATTTTCCCCGTGTTGTGTATGGCGGGGTTGAATGGGTGTGGGTTAGCTTTCTGGGGATAGTTGCTTTTTCGCCCTTGCTGTCTTCCACTTTCGTCTTTGGAGGGATGGTGGGCTCGGTAGTTGGGTGGCGAGCGTCGCTGTTGGGCCAGGAACGAACGGCCCAACTGCGTGCTTAACCGACTCGTCGAGTTCCTTTGGGGCGTCACTTGAGAAGAAGAGCAAGCCACTGGCTTTCCGCGCAACTCAGACCTGATTTGCTTCTGGTTCCGCGCCCTTCTCATCCCTTCCGTCAGGGCTTCGGACGGGATCCAAGCTTTCCCTTGGGCTGGATCGTTGAATGCGCGGCGGGATGCTGTTAGCTTCAGGAGGTGAGTCAAGGCACATGTCACTGCCAATGTTCTCCCTGTCGCCGCTGAGGCCGCGCGCGAACCATATCGTCGGCCTGTGATTTTTCGAAAAGTTCCAGTCGTGGGCCCGCAGGTACGAACGGCCCGTCACATGCAAGAGCGCCAATAGTGGCTTGCTCGTCGGGCGCTGGCATGCCAGTCTTTTCTTGATGAGGCCGAGCTAGAAGGGAGGACCACATCATCACCGCTGACGCCGTAGGGCAGATCGACAGGTCTGGTTTCGGACGCGGTGCAACGCTGGCGTAAGGTCGCTGCAATGCTTCCCTATTGAGCGCCCTCGGAGAAGGCGCACACCGAGCGCGGAGCGAAACGGAGCGATGAGGATGGCATTAGCGAACGCCTCCCCCCTGTTCTCTGCTACTCACTGCCATCGCTTCCCATGCTGAATGATGGGTATCCCCAAGCAAGACAAAACAGCATCTGCTGTACGTTTCTTCTTGCTCACCTCGGCATGGGTCGCCTCGATGCGCACGAGTTCGTTCCGTCTGCCTCCCTCAACAGGCAAAACAAGGCCATGCGTGCACAGTTTGCCTGATTACACTTACCTGCTCACCGCCATAACGTTCCGCCACGACAGGTCGAATGGGGGCGCACACTGTCCTCTCGGGAGGGTGTGGTAGATGCATACTTCTTTTCCTATGGCAGACGGGTGATGCGGTACGTACACTTCAAGGGGAAGGGCGTAGTGGTTTGGCCAGCCGATCGCCAAAGCCACGGAAGCAAGCCCATGGGGTACGGAGCCCGGGGAGTCTGGGGTAGAGCGGCATGGCGTCTTTGGCACACTTGGAATGCGTTCCGATTCGAAGAGGCTTGAGACGAATTGCTTTTCGAGACAGGGCACGCGGGCGAGGCCGCCTGAGAAGGGTTGTGCATTGTCTTTTGCCATGCTGGTCGAGGCGGCCAATGCTCCCGGGGAAGTGCGGATGCGGGAAACGAGACGAGACATGACGCGGACATCTGGCTGACTTGTAAGACAGTCGATAGGATTTCTGCCAAATCTTTTGGGAATTCCCTGGGCGGACGGGCCTGTAACAATGCCTGTTGTCAAACGGGTTGCTTTCTTTTCTCTTCTGCTTGATACTTTGTCCGTGGCCTAGAGAGTCCGGATGCCTGGGCTGGGCAAGCGAGTGTCGCGCTCTCGGGGCGAAAGGGGGTTGAACCAAGGTCTCTTTCTTGATGGGCCCGTTGAAACATGATCTCAGAATTGAGACATATTCGCGGGCGCTTAGGCGAAAGGGCAGTGATACTCATTCACTTGACCGTTCCGCCTGATGCTGACCCAAGGACTGGGGACATGGTGTGATGGCGCTAGGTTGCGCGTCCATCAGAGCACAGGCGCTAACTTGGTAGATACGAAAGCCAGCTGAGGCGGCAAGTTGGTGTGTTCCCTTTTTTGTGAACTTGGCGAAAGCCCCGGCGTGGGATGCGAGGCTATCGCATTCTGGTACGGTCGGTAGGAGACGAGTATCAGGTGGCGATGGAGGTGTAGGAGAGGGAGAACTGATCACCAGTTCCCGATGATGATTACTTTGATCGATATAGCGCGAAAGCGTGGGACAAATAGGTAACGTGGTCATCGGCTCGCGTTTGGTGCGTTACCCTGCGCGGCAAGCAAGAGAAGGCTCTCTTCCAACACGCACATCGTAGTGATGCGCAAGGTCTACCACGGCCTACGCCATGTGCGCCGTACTCCCCGAAACCAGGGGGGTTAACCGCTGGAAAGCCTGCTCCGGTTGCGCCCGAGACTAACAAGTTGCCTTATCGTAGCTCCGAGCCACATGCAGCCGGCTCTAGATCGCCTATTTCGGTACAAGTCATCCCCTTCCACACCCTCTTCAGGCAGTTTGGGCAGGATGGTGCGTTGTCGT